TTATCATTATGAGAGTAAATATAATTCTTCCCATCTAATCTCTCATCAATCTCTAATACAAAGGACATGTTCGAGAAACTGAATACCAGTTTGAACAACCGGTTTTTGCTCGATGAAAATCCAAAGAGCTTAAGCTTTCGAAGATTGATCGTTAGAGATCGGGACAAAGCTTTGACCAATCATTGTTTCTTGAAATTTTTCGTGTGTGTATCCTCGAATGCTAGGCGTGAGACTAACTAAGGGTTTTTGTTTCTCATGTGAAAACAAAGTAATCACTTATATTTCGGATATGCCGTTTCAATATCTTTAATTTACCATATATGTAATATTTCTTAAATTTAATATCGAATTTAGTGAACAATGTGTTTTTATAGTTTGTTATGATATATATACATACATGTCGAATTGAGTTCATTAGCAAAAATACAACAGTTCTAAGGATTTTTCGTTAGGCACACTCTTACATAATTGTTTAGAGAAAGAAAAATGCCAGATAAAAAACGGGAAAATTGCATTAAAAACCTCCAAAATAACGATCACTAGCACTTTAAATCTCCAAAGTTTACTCACACAATAAACTTTTAAAGTGACAATCTTAACTAAATAAAACTTCAAACTAGTTTTTTTATGCGCGCCGACATTTTATTTAACGGAACCGTTAACGGAGTTAACGAAAATGCCAGATTAAAAACCCTAAAATCTTTATCAAAAACACTGGTCAAGCAAAGTTAACAAACAAAATAAAATTAATAAACGACAGGAAAAAAAAACACAACAATGTCTCAATTATAACTCACAAAGACTAGGAATAAACCACCTCGCGTAACCGAAGTTACAATTCGTAAAAACCTTAAAATAGTCCAATTGTCCAGTCGTAACATCGCCACAATAAACATAATTGTCTCTAGTGTAATAAATCGAGTTTGGTTTTGTCCCATTGTTTCCTGGTATGGTCACACCAAGACTCATCTCCTAATGACTTCACTTGATCCCATCTTGTTCCTTGTAAACTCATCTTGAAAATTTTTAAAATCTGATTCAACAAAAAAATTTCACCAGAGAGAGTAACCGCGATCTTAACCGGCCATCTTCTTTCATCCGCAAACGGATGATGATAAACGTTATCCGATATCGCTATAGGGAGTTCTTGAGAAAGATCTAATATTCTTATTCTGTTTAGTAAACTTAAAACGTAAAGTTTGTTGTTTTTGTATACAAGATCTTGACATCCATGGAGATACTCAGGACCTTCTCTTGTAGGTAACTCTCTCCAAAACAACATTAGGTTTTGAGTTTATACAAGAGTGTCTACTAGATTTTTTATAATTATTCATTCACGCAATTAGAAAACCCTAGATAAAAAGATAAATTATTCATTCATAAACATCATGAAGTCACATTAAGCAATAAAGGTTTGGTACTTTATTTTCCAAGTAACAAAGTCTTAGAAATTTGCAGGACTATCATCAAGTTGCTTCTCATCTTCAATCTCAACTTCCAAAATCTCAGGGATCCTCTGTTTCAAGTAGTTTCCAATTCGAGCTAAAACCATTGAACGTGTGTGCCAAAACTTGCCTCTAAGACTTATCTTAACGAAAGGTCCGTCTAGTTCCACTAACTCTACTTGTCCTGTTATCCCAACCGATGAATCGAACAGTTGTGCAAGCTACAATACAATACCAATTCATGATTTTTGATCAAAGATTCACAAATTCAAAACTATAAATAGAAGAAGAATAAGAATCTTAGTTTCTTTTTTTCTGTTAGATTAAAAAACGAAGAAAGGTTAATTCCTCTACAAGCAACAATACCTCTGTTTTGATGCAATTCGAACCAGAAACGTTGATGCAATTCGGTTTAATCAAATACCGGTAATGTTGAACCGGTTCTGAGTTTCTCCCAAACCAATCTAGAATTAGGCAAACGATAAGAAGAGCTTACCTCGACGCGAGCTTCGGATAAGACAAGATGAATATTATCCTCCGTCAAATCCAACGGTGGAAGCGGAGTTCCGGCGCCGGTAACTGCTTCCACCGTCGTTACTGTTCTTGCTTTTGATTTCTCCGTAAAGATCGTTCCTGAATACTCCGTCTTTCTAATTCTAACATTTCTGAATCGTAGAGAAAGTCCGACTAACTTTCCGGTTTTCAGTGGGGGAAAATCCGGCGGAGCCGTACGGTGGTGGTACGGAAACGCCACCAGTTCCATGGCCGAGCAGAACCGCAAAATTTGACCAATTGATGAGGACTTAATGGTTTCTGATAATGTTTTGATGGTGACGTGGCAAAATATCAACCGTTCGTTACCAACTTCAAGCGATATTCAGCATGTAAATGGGTTTAATGATTTATGGGCCTAATTGTAATTGTTCAAAGGCCCATAAGGTCATACAATTATCATTTTACATTTTTTTTTATTGTCGTCTCTTACATGTACAAAAACAATAAAAGAAAATTGCAAGTTACTGTTCTGAATCCTGATTATGGAATAATTAGATAAAAATAATCACCCAAAATCTACAATACAGTGTTGTTGAATAATGGTGGTGCATTTGATTTGATAAGTCACATGGGTTACAAATGGTATAGTGGAAAAAATATACGATATGGAGTGACATGGACATGTGTGGGGGCTTTTCATCATCCACCATATCTTTCGTTCACACGCTTGTGGATCCTATTTGATTTGTCGCACTACATGCTTATACACAGAGACGTACC